GGGGTCCAGGGGGTTGGGGTCCAGGAATCTGGGAGGACTTTACTCAGGAGTGCCGGGGGGGGTGCTAGGATGGGGGTCAAGGACAGGGATGCAGGAGGTGGGCTGGGGAACGGGGGGCTAGGGGGTGTCTCAGCCCCCCAGGAACGAATTCAGAACGGGGTACTGAGTTGGGGGGTAATGGGGGGGCGCAGGGTGGAGGTTTGGGGGCTCCGTGCTCTAACCGGCCACATCCCCCCAGGATGGAGTTCGTGACGGGGTACCGGGGTGGAGGTTTGGGGGTGCGGGGTGGAGGTTTGGGGGGCTCCCTGCTCTAACCCCCCCGCCCCCCAGGATGGAGTTCGTGACAGGGTACCGGGCTGAGGTGCTGGACCTGGCCGAGTTGCTGCTCGCCTGGCACCGGTCCCAGGCCGGGGGGCCCCGGGACAGGCAGCACCAGCGGCGCCAGGAGGGGCACGTCCGGCGCCTGCCCCCCGACCCCGCCCTCTGGCTGCTGCACCTGCTGCCCAACTCCCGGCTGGGGCTGGCGCTGCCGGGGAGGGTCCGGGGGGAGCCCCGGGGGCGGCTCTGCGGGGAGGACGCCCTGCAACTGCGGGACCTGCAGCGGGCGGTCACCTTCCTGAGCCTGGACGAGGAGGACGAGGGGCCGGAGACAGGTACCCCCCAGCCCCCCACCCCCCTCGGGGCTCCCCTGTCTGCCCCCTTTCCCCTGGCCCCCCATCCCGATGGGGCTCCCCCGTCTGCCCCCCTCCCCTGCCTGTCCCCGTGGGGCTCCCCTGCCTGCCCCTCTCTCCCCAGCCTCCTGTCCCACATGGGGCTCCCCCATCTGCCCCCTCCTCTGCCTGGGCCCCTCTCCCCAGCCCCCCGCCCCTCTCTGGGCTTCCCCGTCTGTCCCCCTCCCCTGCCTGCCCCTGCCCTCCATCCCACCACCAGGCCCCCCATCCCCATGGAGCTCCCCCGTCTGCCCCCTCCCCTGCCCCATCTGCCCCCCCGTTCCTGTGGGGTTTCCTGCCTGGCCCCCTACCCCCAACCCTGCCAGACACCCCCTATTCCCCGGCACCCCCCTGCCCATCCCCCTATCTTCCCACCCCTGCTGGGCCCCTCCCTATCCCCTGCCCCACACCCAGGGCTCTGAACCCCGCCCTCCGCCGGTCTCACCTCTGCCCCCCTCCCCCCAGGCCAGGCCCTGGTGCATGTGGAGCGCCTCCTGCTGGTTACAGATGAGCACGGCACGGTGATGGGCCTGGATTTCCAGCTGGGGGCCGGGGCCCCGCCCAAGCCGTCCACACCCCCCCCACTGGAGCAGCTGGCGCTCGGTCTGCTCTGCCAGAGCATGGCCTGTCCAATGGGTCGGGGGGGAGCCCCGCCGGCCCCGGCTGCTGGCCGTGGGGGACCCCACCTTGCACAAGTGAGTGTGAGCGGGCGGGCGGCGGAGGGGTTGCGTGCCCATCCCCCACCTCACTGACCCCTCCCCCTTGCCTCTCCCCACAGGTCACTGGAGCCCCTGCTGCCCCGGCTGGGGGTCAGACTGAGCCCGGGCCCCATGAGGGGCTGGGGGCCGAAACCCACCTTCACCTTGCCCTCCATGCGCGTGCGAGCCTGTCACGTGTGCAAGAGACACGGGTTCCACGGGCGGCTGGTGCCGTGGTGAGCGCGGGGTGGTGGTGGCGGGACCCTGCAGCTCCCCGGGGTGACCTTTGCCCGCCCCCCTGGCCTGTGCCCGGGCCAGGGTTTGAGGGGGCCGCGGGCTAGCTCTGAGCCCCCCTATCTGTCCTGTCCCCCCCAGCCAGCAGTGCCGGGCCGTGCTGTACTGCTCCGAGCGGTGCCGGGCGGCCGACTGGGCCCGCAGCCCCGAGGACGCGGCCCACCGGGCCTGGTGCCCCCGCATGGCCGGGTACATGGCCCGCGCCCGCCAGCTGGCCGACCTGCCCTTCACCTTCGCCGCCGGTGAGCCCTGGGCAGGGGAACGTGGCGGGGGGGGCAGGGGGACGGGGCCGTAGTGCACTGGGGGTGGGGTGCAGGGGGACATGGGGGGCCCTGGGCAGGGGCAGCTCTGGGTGGGGGGGTTGCCAGGTGGGGGGCTGGGCAGGGAGAGGCCACTGGGGGGCA